AACCCCCCTGTAGTTATGCCCCTGGGGGCCGGTTGTATAAAAAAGTGATTAAAGTTAACTATGGTTAAGTGCAAACGTCATCCAATAAGAAGCGCCTATTTGAGAGTTAATCACTATTTAACTACAAAATTGTGATTAAAAAAGTGATTAAGAGTTTTATACAGCCGGCCCCAGGTATTTATATTGCAAAAAAATTTTTGCCCCCTTTTTTTCATGCACAAAATTATCTGACCCGCCCCCCACCCCCCATTTTCCACCAGCCCCCACCTCTCCCCTGTAATGGACCTATTCCATAATGAACAAAATTGTGATCCAGACAACTCAAGACAAAAATTTCCCTAGCTTGAAAGAGCATCATAAAATTAATAATACTCCGAAGTTTCGTTGTGAAATGTTGTAAAATACGGATAATATAGCCCTCAGAAGTTTGCCGTTTTTCAGTCATTTTGTATTAATACGCACAGGAAATTGATACCATTTTTCAGAAAGCGGTATCAATTTCCCGTTCGTATAAATACAAAATGACTGAAGAACGGCAAACTTCGCAGGGTTATATTATCAGCATTTTACCACATTTTGCAACGAAACTTCGGAATATTACTAATTTTGTGATGCTCTTTCAAGCTGTGATAAAAGTTTTGTCTACACTTGTCTAGGTCAAAATTTTATTCATTAGGTAATAGGTCCATTAATGATCGGCCCTTAGCATAAAAACACAAAATAAATGCACGTGACGCCTAGAAATACTGTGTCTATTTTATACTAATATGATCTATATTCTCCAAGGAACGACTTTCCGGAAAAGCAGACCGGTTCAAATATTAAAGCGGCCTGTTTTGACATTACCTAAATTCCATTTGCGTTTATAATAATAACACCAGTATGTAATAATTATATACCATGCAGAGTACATATAATCACGACGGTAGCGCGAAGTTGAGTATTGTCCTCCCCGACCCGTTGGAGGACAGCCACCGTAAATATGCATGATACTGCACTTGAAAGCTAATAAAATACCATATGCTTTGCCGCAAAATATTAAACTGTAAACTGAAAACCAAGCAAATAATATATCAATTAAATGAATATATATACTCTTGACGGTCGATCTATAAACCTATAGCTAAATTTAAACTCGAATTAATTTACAACTTACGTGCTCAAAAGCAGGACAACCACAAACACAAGTATGCGAATCTGGCTTTATAGTAATATATTTAACACACTTTGTGCCGTGTTTACGGCATTTGCTGCGCAAATTCCCGGCCAAGTCCATCCAAAATACCGTCTCTTACAACTATGCTTGTCGTAAACTTGTAAACATTTTTCAAAATCAAAAATCTAAAAATAAAAAAATAAAAAAATACAAAAATAAAAAAATCAAAAAATCAAAAAATACAAAAATCAAAAAATACAAGAATCAAAAAATCAAAAAATCAAAAAATCAAAAAATACAAAAATACAAAAAATCAAAAAATACAAAAATCAAAAAATCAAAAAATCAAAAAATACAAAAATCAAAAAATACAAAAATCAAAAAATCAAAAAATACAAAAATCAAAAAATCAAAAAATACAAAAATCAAAAAATACAAAAATCAAAAAATCAAAAAATGCAAAAATCAAAAAATACAAAAACTGTTTTTGTGCTGTCGCGTCTGGGCCACCGTAGAGTAGAGGTAACACAACTTTTGACATTTTGTAGTAGTTTTCATATGAACAAATTAATCCCATTGGGGGGGGGGGGGTGGTGGAGTAACATAATCGGTCCCCAATGGTTACATAGCTGGTCCAAAGTCTTCAGGTTTTGGTGGGCATCGCCACAACAATTTTTTGCCAGCAAGCAAAATTTGCCCGATAATGTAAAGGTGATGCCTGCAGAGGAGGCTAGTTCATGTCAATGTGGAAGCACAGCAAAGATGGCGGATGCCTATTTTTTAGCTCTATTAAATTTTACTTTATTTGTCACATTTTTGACAATCAACTTTTGACAAAATTCATATTCATCAATTCCTGAGAATAATAAACATTTGCTGCCATGCTTACAATGCAAAAGGTCTTCAATAACAGACAGAAAACTAGATTCTCTCAATGACCATGCTTGTATTACTGAAACTCGATTGCATGTTGATAATTGCTATTGTCTGCTGGAGATACTAGCCTAATACTAGTCCAGCTCCTAAATGCCAATCCTGTGTGAAGACTATCTGAAGTAACAAAGCAAAAATGAACTGTAGTGACTGTTTTAATAACTTTAAAACTCTCTCCTCCGCAGAGGCTTTAGTGATATACATTTGACTACACTTTACATGGCGGATCTTGGAACACGAGCGTAGCCGCTGGGTGAAGGAGCGCAGGTGGCAAAGGAGACCTTCTCGAGGGAAGGAACGAAGCCTCTGCACGATTTGCTTTGCAAAGTCGGACAAAGTGTAAACATAGAAAAAAAAGGTGATTTTTAAGCTAAATAATACACACCTTTTTGAAAATAAAATCGAAATTTAATGCATGATTGATTGACCTCAGACTAGCGCTTGCATCTTTGTGGATGGTCAAAAGATTTTTTAACGTTACACAAAGCAAAACAATCGTATATTTTACTCACCGCTTGGCCAAACATTCTGTATTTCGTATTGAGAAAAACTTGAATATCTCTTGAACTCTCCGGAATTTGCCACAAGTCAAAGAAGTAAAATACTCAATGTATTCAAGTGCTTTCATGTAGAAAATTTCATTTGAATACGGCCGGTAGAAATATTTTTAATTTTTCAAAATATCGAGTTTTTACGCACAGTCGCACGCACCTGTCACGCTGAAGTTCGGGAATTCACAATCAGACCAGAAATGGAAATACCATAGTAAAAGATGGTGCTATGCTCTGACATACATGAGTTATCTGAACTTCCCTTCTAGAACGAAAGACTTTTTCCCTCACTAAACCAACCTTGGGACCATGAGGATACTATCCCTGAGCAATTGCAAATTGGATCTGAATCTGACAAACATCTTGAGGCAATTAACTCATTCCCATCCAGTCGAAAAGTAGCAATTTCGAGTGTTGTTTCAAACGCTTATATCTCTCAAACTATACATTGCACGGAAACAGAAATTGCATCGTTCGAAAGAGGAGGACTTCTGCTTTCCAATTTCAATTTCATCCGGAGCTTGGTTAACGATTTACTGGCATAAATTTGCATAAATTATGATATAAAAAAATGTTGCAATTATGCATAAATGTATTTAGCGGTTCAAATTTCATATATATCAAAAAATTTTATGAATATGACTGAAAGACAGGGTTATGATCTACAAGTACCCGAAGTTTCATGCATGTAGCATAAATAGAAATATTTTTATTGAATTTTTATATAAACTAGGTAGTGGAGTAAAATTTACATTTTGTGCTCACATGAAACAAATACCTTTATCAAAGGTCCTTTTTTATTGCTGCAACATGTTATCAATACAAATTTCCAATATTTCTTACTCTCCAAAGATAGTATGGCACCAAAATAAGTCTGTGATACCCACAAGAGAACACTCAAATCATGATTAGCAAAATGTCTCTATTTCTACAATTACTACATACATTCTTAGATAATAATCATTACACCATTGACTTTAGTTATTAGTGGCATAACCAGCCTCAAAATTTGGTCATGCTATTCAAATTTGGATTAATCACTACTCATTTGTTTAGAAATTGATTGTTTTCACAATCTAGAACATGAAAATATTTGCAAATAGCATGACCAAGTGTTATTGGGCTGGCATCATCATAATTAGTAGTTATAAAAAAGTAATGTTTTCCAAGGTAGTAATGTTTGCTAAAGCAGTAATGTTTGCCAAAGCACATAATTGGATTATGTGGTGAAAATATTTCCTTTATATTGTACTACAAAAGACCTAAGACTGTAACCAAACTGATATCAGATCACCACGTCATACCCAAATCTGTTGCGATGAATATCTGGACTTCTTCCTGTATAAATTTCAAAGTCGCAATATAACCATTAAGATTGTCTGCAGCAACCCACAGATTTATTCCCCACATAGTAGGTCATCTAGCTTTCATGAACTGCCTAACCCCCAACCTATTTCTTGATTTGACAGTGTGTTTGTCTGCAACAACAATATTCTGTGACGGCTGGTACAGTTGTTGATGCAGTTTATTGCTGTAGTCTTTAGTACAGGATATACCCATATTCACAAACGCCATAAGCGCTTTGTACCTAACCGGAGAAATTATGTCTATTGCCCAAAGATCATGATACAAGGTTTTTACACTCCAATAATTTTCAATCTCACTGTCGACCTTTAGCAAACCTGCATATACTAAAAGGCAATCAACCTCTCAAGGTTGGTGGACTGCAAGACCCTTCTTTCTTAGTATATGGGGATAACTTTTGAGTTGTATGTGGGCATATGTATTGGTATGGCCAGGAAACTACCTCCTGAAGCATTCCCTTAGTAAAAAAGAGTCGAATGAACTCAAGCTCACAGTTCATTGAGCCGAATGAACTCAAGCTCACAGTTGATCGAAATGGATCCTGGACATGTCAGTGAGGAGCGAAATCTGGGAGAACATTCCTAGCATCAGGATCATCATATCCGTCATGTACTATGGGACCTAGTGGGGATGCTAGACAGGGAGCTTTCAAAACCTTAGGTCCTAATGGCTTGGCTTCCCTCTACCTCTAATCATCCCCCTACCTTCCCTCTGGGTTGGTGAGTGGGGTTCTTGTGACTCATCAGAACTCTACTTCCCTGAGGCTATGAAACAGGAACAGCAGATAGGAACAGGATCAATATATTCATCAGTGCAAATAAAAACTTTTATAGACATGGTGCCACTTAAAATTATAATAAGAGCCAAACTAGTAAGATATAAGTATGAATACTTGGCTATTATGTATGTAACAAACAACCAAACATGTGCTCAAGGCTCATGTACAGTTAATACAGACTGTTTGTTAAGTAACTTGTGAACCATTTTAATGCAGTACTAGACGCCCCTACATCTTCAAGTTTACTGATCAAGATGCCGTGATCTAGACTGTTGAATGCTTTTGACATATCAAGAAGAACAACAGCGGTTAATTGCCTATTGTCCATGGCTTTTAAAATGACATCGGTAGTCTTTAGTAGTGCTGTTTCGGTCGAATGCAACTGTTTGTTTCCACTTTGATTTGCTGTAAGTCGATTGTGTGATGGAAGATAGGGCATAAATTGATTAAAAATCACTTTCTCACAAACTTTAGATAAAATGGGTAGCAACGATATCGGTCGATTATTTTCAGCTTGCTGATGATCGCTGTCATTAGCTTTAGGGATAGGTACAACCTCAGCCTTTTTCCACAAGCTTGGATAAACTTGGCTGGTGATAGATGCATTTATGATAGATGTTAAGGGCGCTAAAATCGCTCAGAGACAGTCTTTGATTACTTTTAAGGGAATTTTGTCTGACCCAGGAGCTTTGCCTAAAGGCAATTCTGGTGATTATCTGCTTGACTTCCTCTTGCGTCACCTCATTAATTATAAACTGGTCGCTTAGGGGAATTGTTCTTGGGACAAAAGGTACCCGATTTTGGTCACACTTGAAATTGTCTGTCATTGTGTGAATTTTTGCAACCGTGTTTTGTCCAACTGAACAAAAAAATTTGTTAAAGTCATTAGCGGTCACCATTCATCTTTCACAAATGTTTTAACAATGGCTACCCTGGTTGCCAGAGGTTCTGTATCTTTCGCTTTATTCTTGAGCGAATAATTAATATATTAAAATAATTATGAGCGAGAATAAGGCGAAAGATACAGAACCTCTGGCAACCAGGGTAGACGCTGGCTGCCTTCTTTGGAAGGCATGAGCGTATGACTTTCCATAAACAACCCGAGTCATTAGGATTTTCTTTTATTTGTTTAGCAACATATTCCTTTTCAGCATCTCTCAACTCATGCTTTACTTGGCGTTTTAGTGATCTGTACGATGACCAAGCATTAGGATTATTCGTTTTACCGGCGAGGTTTCGCCATTTATCCCTAGTTTGCATTAGTGCCTTTATCTTGTCTCTTATGAAGGGGTTTGGTCTAGCCCTTAACTTAACACGTTTAATTGGAGCATGCTTATCTAGAATTGGGTTAAAAAGCAAGTGAAAGGCTTCCAACTTATCTTCAGTGGCACCCAAACTGTCTATAACTGACCATGGGACATCAGAAATGTCACATGCAAACGCACTAGCATCGTAATGTTTATAGCTGCGATATGATATGTAAATTGGTTTAGGGCAACGTTTCTTGAAGTTTAGTGTTACATGTACCAAATCATGATCACTGATACTGATGTGTGTCACACCTGCACTCTTAACCATATCTATATTTTACCAGATAACTCAGTTGTTCTCGTCGGCTGGTTTATCAACTGTGTAAGATTAAACGAAGAGCAAAAACCCGATAGAGCCTTAACACAGCCATCACTGCTATTAAGGATATTACAGTTCAAATCGCCAAGGATATAAATATCTTTTTTCAATGTAGATGTTGAGACAAACAATTCGGCAAACTCTGTGTCGAAACAATCCAAAGTACAGTCTGGAGGTCTATATGCCGTGCAAATAATAAAAGATTTATGTTTTTGAATCTGGACGCTAAGCCACAATTGGTGAAAACCAGCACTAGATATTGACGATAGTTTGTCCAATGGTTTAATTTTATAAAATTCCTTCACAAATATACACACACCACCACCAATTCTAGCTTGTCTATCAAGACGATATAGAGTATACCCAGGAATTGCTATCTTGCTGTCATGAACCAACTCATTTAACCATGTCTCTGATGTGGTGAATATGTCAAAATCGCTTTCAATGATTAGATTTTTAACTTGAATATAATGGGCCCTGTTCTTCAGTGAGCGAGTGTTCAGATGTGCTATCTTTATGTTCTTTATATTACCTTCTTTCTGCCGACTAACCATTCCTGGATTCAATTCTACATCTCCAGAGAGTAGGATTAAACGAGGCTGATGGAAATAGCTTGTAGAATTAGGATAGTAACCCACTCTGGCAGCAAATAACTTCTTCCTTCTGGGCAAGTCAAAACCAAGATGGCGACCAATCGTGACAGCATCTTGCCAAACATATTGTAAAATATTACTTCTACTAAATCGTTCTTTCGGCTTTTCGCCAATTTTATAACTGTACAACTTCTGTTGTGAAGTAATCGAAACATCAGACACTGAATTTGAAGTGGACCATGCGAAAAAACACATGGAAATCTGCAGCATAAAAAATATGTGACTGCACATTGCGAGGGGATGATGAAGGATGATATCAACACTATATTTTATCATTTCGTTATCGATTTTATCTGAGTGTGCAGCTTTTAACCCTTCTGTGCTGTAAGTAATTTGGAAAAATTGTAATCAAACTTCAACTAAGGTAAGTCTTGTTTAATTTTTAATTTCACTAAATCACTACATACATCCAGGTTACCATGAGATTCTAAAGCAGTGAAAAGCGAAAACGTAGCAGAAAAAACCATTGTCATTAATACACACTGAAACACAATGATAAACATACAATATAAACTTATCAACGTTTCAACACAGCCAAACTAATTTGGTTGGTGACAGAAACAGGCTTATTATAGAATTTACAAAATGTTGAGTCATCCCTCCAGCCAGCTGTGGCTAGGATTACATCAACTGGTACAGATACGGCTGCCTTGCTAGTGGACGCAACCCTTGTGCCGTGTGCTGAAAAATTCGATGTGTCAACACCTGCTTGTCCAAACAATGTCTTAATCCACTGTCCAACCGTTGATGCAGTTCTAATGGCCACAGGGTGGACAAATAATCAAGGACAAGGTCAACTGGCCACAAGGGATCAAACGACCCCTGAACACAAAACTGCAACTATTTGTTGATATTGTTACTGACTTGCACAAGGATTTCTGGATAACTTGCATACCATAAACTCAGTTGACCCTGAAGTGAATGAAGACTGTCCAACGTGGGATAAACCAGGTTCTGTTGAGTTACTTTGAGAATCTGTGGAACATCGATTAACAGGCTGAGAACTATTGTAAGGAATGGTTGGTTCATGAATGGTTGCACACATCTCGATACAAGACAAAATGGGTGGAACACACAAAAGTAAAACATGACAATGTGATCGAAAATGCATCTATGAATTTAGCCTTTAGATCTGGTTTCCAAGAAACAATCTTGGAGCTGGGCAATCAGTCTACTAGCAAAAAGATCTATGTATGGTTGGCTAAATAATGCTCAGACAATTCTTTGGAAATGATGTAAAGCTAACGTCCATTCCAAATTTAAATTTCGGGATCTGGCAATATGCACTGCTGGCAACCAAATTTCCTTGGCAATGGCCCAAATCCAAATTGTTTGAGCAATAGTATTACACTCTACATATCTACCATCCACCCATTTCATTAATGTATGTGACAACAGTTGTATTATCACACATAATCCCCACATGTATGCTACTTCTATCAAACAAAGAAAAAAGGGCTAATTGAATGGCCAATAATTCAAAACAATTTATATGTTTTACACAGTTTTTCAGCTGCATCATGTGACCAAATGCCACATGTTGTACTACCATTCTCAAGCTTCCAGATGCATCAGTGTAAATTGTGATATCTGGAGTGGTATGATAGAACTGAATGTTATTTACCCACCAATGAATCTCCCCTAAACTGTCTGCAGACAAAGCCATTTCCGCAACAAAATTACCTGGATGCATTCTTAAATAATATGTGTGCATCAATATGACGATAATGAAGAGGGCCAAACTCAACTCCAGGAAAAGATGAGACTAGAGAACCAGTCAAAGAAGCCACTTGGCAAATAGTAAATAATGTGTTGGGGTGCAAAAACTTCTGACACAATCACATAAGTTTTGCTTTCTTATTTGGTGTCAGAATTACAGAAACATAGTTACAGAATTCAAAAGAAACCCAAGGAATTCTATACATTGTGAGGGCAAGGTAACTGATTTATCAGGATGGATTTTACAGTGCATCTACAGTAAGTGGGGCCACTTAGAGAACACTAGCCAATCACGTTGCAGAACAAAAATTGAAAAAATCTACAAACGGCGCATTAGCCAATCAGCATTCCCAGCTAGCACAATTACGTTGTGCCAACGTTGTATGAACGTTCGCCGAACGTTGAGATAACGTTAGTAAAATAAGTTGTAGTAACGTTTTTTTTGTGAACTCGCAGGAACGTCGTGACAACGTCAGGATTAACGTTAGAACATGACGTTGGTTCAACGTTCCTACAACGTTCGATTAACGTCCAGAAGACGTTGAAAATTAACATTGTAGGAACTTTTTTTGTGAACTCGCAGTAACGTTGTCACAACGTCAGGATTAACGTTAGAACATGACGACGTTGGTTCAACGTTGAAAATTAACGTTGTAGGAACATGCCCTTCTGCCATTTTGTTATGCGTCTTCAGTATAATAAACTGCAGAATTATAAGCCCCATTATGCATCTAAACAAACTTCGTTCGGTCTCCGCATAGTGCGTCTTGTTTATATATACTGAGCCTGAGGATACATAACAAAGATAGCTTATTCGTCTGATAGTCGTCTGACTATTCGTTCTTTCTTTAAAGGTGATGTAAACAAACGCTTTGTTTACATTTTGAACTCAGTGCTACAGTTGTAAAATATAATTAGATATATATTATAATGAATTTTGAACACTCTTCTGGTTTGCTATGCTTGTCAATTAATTCCTACTAGAGATTCAATTCGAAAAAGTTCGAAAGGTGCCCGACCATTGGAGTGTAGGCCTGCGCCGAACGTATGGACCGTATGCACAGAACGGACTTTACATCACCTTTTAAACGACAAATACATAATGTGAAGATGCACAATGCGATCAGCCGCATAATACGTCTCTAGTATAAAAATGGCTATGACATTTAACTAAAGTGTTTGATTTTGCTTTATTTACAATTAATTAGGCTTAAAATACTGGTTTAATTTATAGTTTGAACAAATAATAGTGATATTTTAAATAAAGATTAAAGTAATAATTGTACAATCATTGTTGGGCTTCATTTTTGCGATCCTAAAAGAAAAGAACAAGACTTTAAGAAACAATACGCCAGAAGTTATACATGCGTTGTAAATAGATAGTGTATGTCAACGTCGATATAAAAAAATTGTTGTAAATTGTATATTTTTTCCGACTGGGGAAAAACATTTGCTGCTATAAATACAGGAAGATTAGAAACAATAATTAAAATATAAAACAATGGTAACTCCAACAATAAACATTTTAATGAATTTAACGACTATTTTTTCCCTAATATTATATGACGTACTAGCTAGGCCTATGAAACCTAGTCGAAAGCTGGATACATTAAAATGATTATTTTGGGAGTTACACTTGTTTTATATTTTATTAAATACTCTGTGGATCACGTAAAAAAACGATATTCTGTTACAGATGATTTCACATAACTTTTGCATGAATGTTGCGAACTTCGTTCCGAACTTCGTTGTGAAGTTCAAAAGTTCATACTGAAATTCACAAGCCGGTTTGTAAACAAAGCCTCTGATTGGCTTATTTTTGTTCAGGGACCAATCAGAGGCTTTGTTTACAAACCAGCTTGTGAATTTCAGTATGAACTTTTGAACTTCACAACGAAGTTCGGAACATTCACGGAAAAGTTATGTGAAATCAACTGTAATACAATACCTTTTCGAGTTTGTATGCATTCTGTTCGCACTTATTACATTTAAAGCTAGACTTTTAAATACTGTATCAGTATATTGAAGTAAATTCGAATGCACTGATAAATAAAACGAATATATTACAAAAGAAAAGCAGGTAGTCAATGATCCTCTCATTTATTTCCTGGAATTTGTGCAGAAAGGTTTATAGGTCAAAATACGTTCTGAACTTTCAACAATAGAAACATTAGGGATTAGACAAGTCCATTCCTGTCTTTGTATGTTACAATATATGAACCAATATGTGAACCGTACATAATTTGCATTTAAGTTTTGTAATTTCGATGTAGATGACCAATAGTTACAAACAGACAGTTACCTTAAATCTGGAGCCACCAGACTTGCTAGGAGCGTATTTTAGATATTCTGCTATCTGCTCTTCAACATTTAACTCGTTGCATCCCTTGTGCACTCTCACACAGGCTTCTAAAATGAATAAGAATCAAACAAAAAACGCATGTTAATAAAATGGCCAATGGGTAATTATACTGCAATTATCTGACAGAGGGCTACTTATTAAACGTTTGATTTCTAATTGTAGGTATTTTCCGGTGTGCAGGGTATTAGTGTATTACTGAACTAACTACAAGCTTTCCTATAGTATTAAGCATTAACATTAATAGCAAATTAATGGACTTACTAATTACAATCTTGCACACAGCAAAGTCTTTAAATGGAAGTTTGGCCTTTCTCCCTTTCAAACTATAGTTTGACCACAGTTTGTTTAACCTATAGAATATGGTATAGAATATTCTATATGCTATAGAATTTTCTATGGGACTTGCAATCCTATAGAATATTCTATTGCCATATTCTATAGAAGTTCCAGATCCTATAGAATATTCTATTGCACATTCATATGAAACATCCAATAACATATTCTATAGAATATTTTCTAATGCCGAAATAGTATGGGATATTCTATAGATAATTTCATAGAATGTGATAAACCTATAATTGATATCGATTTAAGCCTAATTTATACTGCCTAGTACACAGCAAAAAATCGGTGAAAGTATTGTGATTTTAGAAAAATATTTCTTAACTAAGAAATCTGTTTTTTGCAAGACAATTTGTTCTTGAAATAAGTTTGTTCCTTTCAAGACAATTTGTTCTTGAATATTTTCTAATAATTACTTAATAATATACTTATTTCACAGTACATTTGTTTTCTTCAATGAGATATTAATATGTTTTCTGATTTTCTCGTCGTGCATTGACTGGAAGCCTGGTACCTAGTTTACGTGTGAGGGCGCAAAGCTTCATGGGATAGCATCATTTTAAAATTGCAATTTCAAATTACTCGCACATGGATGGATTTGAAGGGAAATTTTCCCTTATATTTTCAACCCAAACGATGGAAACGGCATTGGAAAGTTCCTAAAATGTTATTCAGATCTCACAGGTAAGAATATTTTCATGTTTGATGCTATTTAGGCACTTAAATTCCGAAATAATGTAGTGAATTTGAGTCATGTGTGAAAATATTCCGTTGAATGTTTGAATTTGCCGCGTCAATTTGCATAAAAACATACAAAATTTCGGTTTCTAGCGATGGAAGAAAGATTAAAATATGAATTCGAATATATAGTATTGGGAATTCTATACTAAATTACGCACTGTTGTTTAATTATAACAATCCACAATATAAAGTGTCTTTGCCTTTGCCTTTGGCATAATTTGGCACTGCTAGACGACCTTTGTCAAAGTATATGAAATATATTGATATTATTAAGATATGTTATCTTTTTAATACTTGAAATATAAGTATTGATGTGATATTTTCAGTGTGTTGAAAGATGCAAATTGACCATTTGCGTAATAGACTAAATTTTGATCTCAACAAAAATTTCATTACAACTTGAAAGAGCATCACAAAATTAGTAATATTCCAAAGTTTCGTTGCAAATTGTTGTAAAATGCGGAAAATATAGCCTTGCGAAATTTGCAATTTTCAGTCATTTTAGATTACAAACCGGAAATTGACAGCCTCGCAGGGTTTGGGCATAGAATAAAGATCCATATAGAAGGGCCACTTACGTCGGAAGCTTTGAAGTTTCTGTCCTCGCGCATGTCGCATTACGCATGTTGGCCGCCATTTTCCTAGCCAGTCAATGACATTTTCTGGCCAATAAACACGCTGTACTGGCTGGCTGCTCCGCCTTCTGGCCAGTAAACTGCATATTTTTGCATAAAAAAACGAGGACACGTTGCACCCCTGAGTGGCCCTTCTATATGGATCTTTATTCTATGGTTTGGGGCTGTCAATTTCCCGTTTGTAATCTAAAATGACTGAAAATTGCAAATTTCGCAAGGCTATATTTTCCACATTTTACAACATTT